CTTTCCAAACCAAGACAGTGACACAGTGAAAGACTGGAATCAGAGATTGTAGCAGTATCCATAGGCAGTGATAGCTGCTCCTTCAACCTTTCCTCAGAATATGTGCTTCAAGAACACTGAAGCAAGTCACTGAGTTCCCACAGTGGTTGAGACGTTCCCAGAAGCCTGGGATCACCACAAAAACATTGTTCTGTTTGTCAAGGCCAGCTTTTAGAAGTGGCAGAGAAGCAGAAGAACAAGAAAAGCAAAATTACTCTTGGGGCTGGATTTCAGCAAAGTGTCACATAAGAGAAGTTCTCAGCACCCCTCAGAAATGGAAACAGCCAACAGGGTAAATCATCTACAAGAAAAGGTAGTTATCTGCAGCAAAAGAGGAAAAAATTGGTTATAGGAGGGAAAATAATCTAAAAATATTACATTCTAGCAATGTAAGCTGTGATGACTGAAAGCTAAACCATTTGAACTGACCAACCAGAGGATTGATCCAGACTGCAAAGTATGGAAGGCAAGCAGGGGTTACCCAAATAATTCACTCAGACTTCTTTTGCCTTGCACATCACATAGTGCTTTTGACCTGCACAAAATAAGCTTAAAGTAATAAAGAGGTAAGATTCTTTGGTGCAGACGTTATTTTGTACCAAATTTGCACAGGAGTATAAAATTTCAAGCCACGTGGTATCAGGACTACAGTCACCTTCAGAGAAGGTTGTTAGGGAAATCCTCCTCACAGAACAGCAATACCCTGGTATAAGATGAGTGAATGCTCTGCCTATTTTCCTTTGCCATTTGTTTGGCCATTTCAATTTGCATTGAAATGCAAATTTAACATGAGGGTTAACATGAGGTCGAGATTTCATCAAATTTAACATGAGGTCAAGATTTCACCAAAACCAAAATCATAGTGGTTACATGAAAAATCATCAACCGAGGAGAAGAAAAATCCAAATTAGTCCCTTTCTCCTAAAGAGGAGGTTCTAAACTGGCCTGGCATTGATGACAACACCAAGACCAGATAGTTTAGTTCTCTAAAATGTTGGTCTTTTTTCCCCTCAGCCCCTAACCTGCATGCAGCAGTCTGGGGATCAAGGTAATAGAAATGAGGATAAAACAAATTATTTGTTCAAAGTCCTGCTTTGGCTTTTTGTGGCTTTAGATGTACATCCTTCACTGCACTGCTCTGTGATCTGTGGTGGTAGCTCAACTCCAAAGGAAAAGCAAGTTGCAAAACAAAAAGGTCCCCCCGGGATCACACGCAGCAGTATTCAGCTCAATTACTTATTAAAGCACCGACACAGCATAGATTTTTTTTCAGTACATTACTTATTCAATCAGAGCTCCAACTCTCTCAGACTGATCCCTTAAGAAAAAACAAACATCTTTCCCTGTTTGTTTCCAGCTGCATCACAAAAGACTTTAAAGACTTGAGTCTGCAAAGAAAACTGTTTGTCTTTGGGTTGTTGTACAGCAAGAGCTTGTGGGTGAATCCAGTGAAGCTCTGATTGACTGCTGAGAGCACAGGGCCATCGAGCTGGGAAAGGTGTTTGGATTTTTCCAGGTAACTCCATGACCCACCTCCAATCCAGAGCAGATTTACCTGCGTGGGACAGGAGCTGCAGGCAAGACAGCGAGGAACAATCTCTTTGTGGCAATCAAGGGTTTGGGGTTTTTTTACAGGAGGTGAGATCAATTTTCCATCAAGTTATTCTAGACTGGGAATAGTTCATCAGATATTTAAACACAGAAGCTGAACTTTCATCTAGGCAAGATGGGCATGCTGTGTTGCTCACCTTGAAGAACAATAAGGTCCCCTGTGGAGGAGGGAGGGAATCAACCTCCATCAAATATTTCAAGGCAGAAGCTGTTGCCTCGCCTTTAGGTTTCTCTTAGCTAAGCTGTTAAGCTGTAGAATCACTGAGGTTGGAAAACAGCTCCATGATCATCGAGTCCAGCTGATGCCACAACACCACCTCTGCTCCAGAAAACCAGAGTACCAGAAGATAGAGAAGCTGGCAAAAAGCCCACGTGGTTTTGGAAACCAAAGGGCACCAGATCCTTCCATCACTTTCTTTAAAGGGATGTAAGAGCAAGAACCTCTGTTTCCTTGGTGAGCTGTTGTGCTTTCCTAGAAGGACAAAAATAAAAGAGTAGTAGAAGTCTTACAGCAGAATTTCTTCAAAGGACTTTTCAAGAGGGAGATTTATTGAGTCTTATTCTATCAGACACTAGTCAGTGAACATGTGCAACTTGGGTGAGCTGAAAAAAAAAGCTTGTCTATAAATTCTTGTACTCCAGACACTGTTCCTCAAAGGCCAGCCCTAATAAACCCATCATCAGAGCAATACTATAATTCAGTGGTGGCTCACTCTTCAGACCCTGCATCTTTTCTCAGGGGCTCCTGCAGCAAACACACTGTGCATCAGCTGCCCTGAGGACACAGTGCTTTAGTGCTAATGTGGGACATGTCAGAGAGCCCTAGCCCAGCCCAACAGGCAAAGAAGTGTCTCCTCTCCCTATCCAGAGAAGAGCTCAGGCCCAGAAAGTAGTTAAATCATCCAGACAATATCCTACAAGCACCACAAAATACTTTGCTAGGAGCCAAGATATTAACTAGAAATGTTCTACAATGTTCTATGAGCTGGGAAATGGGAGCTTTAATCTTCCCCAGCTGAGTAAGAAACTGATCTTGAGCCTTGCATTTCACAAGCAAATAAAGCCAGAAAGCTACAGGAGACAATAATCATCTCACCCTGACAAAACGAATGAGCTACTCAAGAAATTGTCACCAAAACTGCACAAAGCTGAAAGATGTAGAGAAGCCAGAGTTACTGAATGCTTTCCTTTCATCAGTCCTCACCAACAAGACCAGACCTCAGGAATCTCTGACCCAGGAGAGCAGGGTAAATGAATGTCAGGGAGAAGACCTTTCTTTGCTCATCAAGGGTCTGGAGAATCTCTCCTACAAGGAAAGGGTGAGGAGCTGGAGCTGTTCAGCCTTGACAGAGACCAGGCTTTCCTTCAGGCTCTCCTCAGTGGCACCCACAATGGGACAAGAGGAATGGGCAGAAACTGATGCCCAGAAAGTTCCACCTGAACATGAGGAAGAACCTCTTTACTGGGCAGTGACCAAGCACTGGATCAGATCACTCAGAGAGGGTGTGGAGTCTCCCTCACTGGAGATATTCCAGAACCATCTGGACACAATCCTGTGCTGTGGGCCTTGGGTTAACCCTCTTGGAGCAGGGAGGTGGGACCAGATGATCCCTGTGGCCCCTTCCAACCTGACCCATTCTGTGGTTCTGTGACCTCTCTAAACCCCTTCCCTTTGTGGTTAACTTTGACATCAAGCCAACCAGTAACCTGGCAGAACTTCAGGCTAATGATGATGGCAATGCTGCTTAAACTGGCAGGCACTGTTTAACTTGCATTAATTAATCCTTCTGTATTTCTCTACAGCCTTGCTCAATGACAAAGCAACTGCTGACAGTGGAGGCCTGCAAGAAGTATTATATGTTTTAGCACTGTACCTTTGGACCCAGAATAATAAGCACATAAAAGAGATAGATGTGTATTTCTAATGCTACCTTTTAAAGCAATTGCTTAAAAGAATTCTGCTTTAGCAACTTGGAAATTTAATTCCTGACCTTCCTGAGTAATCATGCTAATATCAGAAGAAGTCGTAATTATTCAGTCATGAAGAAAAGAAGGTACTGTTTGTACTCAAAAGTGGAGCACTTAAATATAAAAGAGAGACCAAAAGAGGAATGTGAGTATTCCCTGGCCACTCCAGAGGTGAGTCATAGCAAGGGGTTCCCACTCTCAACAGGATGTGGCAGGGACAGGGAGAGTGCTCCTATGCCCCCAGAATGTGAAGAACATGAACTTGAGTCATCCAGCTCCAGCAGGGCACAATCCAGCTCTCAGTCAATAAAGAGATCCTCCACTCTCTACAGTTCCCTGGCTTATTCCCAAGACACATTACAGCTTCTTATACAGGAAGGGAAGAGAGGCTTCAGTCATTTTCATTAAACAATCTTCTTTATTCCCAAGAGAAATTTTATCCTAAGGGAAAGATACCAGCTCCACAGAATGCAGTAAAGTGTTCTCACTTGCACAGGGATGTTCATTCAAATTCTGCAACTTCCATACATCTTTGCAGAAAGATCTCCTAGCTCACATTTTCTAAGATTTTTTCAGCTAGAGGCTACTTAATCTGGACTAAAACGTTTGAAGTGAAGCAGTAGCAACAGAGCAAGACAATCAAGCTGTTCTATTCAAGATCTCCAAGAAAGAAATGGGATATTGGGAGTGTAAGAAAAAAAATTATCTTCCTGCCCTGTTTGGAGCAGAGCATGACACAGAATTTCACAGCCATGACAAGGAGGAGGAAGAAAGAGAGTAACCCCAAGCTGGTGTGCAGAGGGACTGACCCTGCTTTCTGAAGCAGAAAAGAGGTGTATGAAACTTCCCATGTTTGGTCTCTTCTTTTTTTACAAAACTGATGTCAAGTAAAACATTGCGCAGTGGTGTCTGTATCACAGAAGATCTCTGTGCTTTCCATAATCTATAAACCCCTGCCATATCATGCTTTATCACACAACAGGCTTTCCATAGTATCCTGTGTCAAAAATTTCCCTTCTCAGAGGATCCCAGGGAGTCTTTAAAGACTTTAATCAGCCTCCTCCATATATTAAAGAAGATGGGATTAAGTCAGTGTGCTTATGGTTTCTGTGTGGGCAAAGATATAAACATCTCCAAGTCACAGATGAAAAGAAAGATAGTCTCAACATTTAGTCAAGAGAAATTGAGGAATTGAGATACTTTGCTAGACAGGTATGCAGAGGCTGGCATGCCAAACACATGGAATCAAAGCTGACAGAGATGGGTAGAGTGACTCACATAGATGAGGAACTTGACTTTGTCACCCAGCTCTCCAAAACAGCAAGCACAGTCTGAAAAATACCTAAGAAAAATTGAGGCCACAAACACACAGAGCAATATGATGCTTTTTAAATCAGGTTTTCAATCACAATGTAATTTTTTCCCCACCAACACACTCAAACACAGACATTTAAAAATTATTTGTCTACAAAGAGGAACGAAATGATTTAAACAGCTCCAGTAAATTCTGAGCAAATCTCTTCTGATCTTCTCCTTGGGAGTCTGCTCAGACAACATATAAATTTTATTTGCTTCTATTTCACAAGACAAGAAGAGGCTGGGTTGTAGATAACCTTCTGTTCAAGCTCAGCATATCTTTTCAGAAGTGGACGATAGAGCTAAAAAGGAAAAAGAAATAAATATGTCTCATTGAAAAATTAGATTTTTAAATTACACTGTAGTTAAAAAGCATCTTCAGACATGAAAAATGCAGCATCTTCACAGGTACCTGAAGGTTTGGGCTAGTTTTTCCCCAATTTGCTCATGAAAACGCTGCAGAATTTTCCCTCTTTGAATGTCACAGTCCTTTTTACCATCGCCTTTACAGCTTAATTTTATGACATGCACAGGTTGTTCTTATTGTGACTGGGTTCTTGCAATAAGCAGAAGCCATTACTTCCAGCAGAAGCAGCTCAGCTAAAGTCACCTCTCCCAGTGTGACATGCCCCCTCAGTAATAGCTGTGCTAATCACCCAGGCAGAACTCCTGTCCTTGCCTCCCTCCACTGCCCCAGGATGGATCACTGCCTCTGTCCCCTCCTCCTCTGCCTCACTAATCACCCCACTGCACCCTCCAGCACAGTCAGCTGGGCCCTCCTTGGCCAATGTGCTGACCAGGGCCTTCTGAAATGCACCTCACACTCCCTCTCAGACTCCTGTACCTGCTTGAGCTGCTTCTCTACTCCACATCTTTCACAGCCACATCCTTTCCCATCCACAGGCTGCTCCATGGCCATGTTCCTTGCTCCCCAGGCCCACAGGGACAAATGCAGACCCAGCTTTTAGCCACAGCTACACCAAGTATCTGAGTAGCTTGTTTGTAGTTTCCTAGCTAGAATTTTCCAGGAGTTTTTAGGTACAGTATTGTTACAACCATAAAAAGAAGAATCAAGACTCAAATGTGTTCAAAACCCTGGACTCAGACACATCCTGCACTTTCAGATATGGGTGAGATCCATGAGAAACCCTGAATAAATCTCTGCTCTAGCTCCAATCAAAACTGTACTTCATCTAGATCTTGGAGATGCACCTTTTTCCTTATCTCCTCCCTTATCTGTCCCTCTAATAAAACCAGCACTGTGACAAGCCATACCAGGACAGCTCTGCACATTTGCTGGCTCCAGCACAAAGAAGGGAATGGCAGGAGCCAGCACAGGGTCTGGTATAGGCTTGAGCAGTCCCTAGGAGGATGCCATAAGGTCACATCCCTGCCACAGTGAATCCTAGAGGCTGCCAGTCTGTCCACAAGCTCTCTGCACTGACTCATCATCAGGGCAGCCTCACTCCTGGCTCCAGGTTCGAGAGGTTATAGAGCCATAATGAATCACAGCCTGCAAACTGAATTACTGCTCTCATCAGTAAGAGAGATCTAGCATTTCAATGTGGTTTATCCTTTTCAGCCAACAACAGTGTGTGTACAAGTATGAAAAATTCAGGAGGAAAATGTTTCAGGTGTAAACTATGGGGATGTAGGAGGAGACCAGCTTCTCCCTGGGCAGGTCTCTGTACAGTCCTGCAGTAGCCTCAGTGTCTGTAACAGCCACACTTTCCCAGAATAAAAAAAACCCACAAAGTTTTCTCATCTAGGAAATAAAAACCAGTGGGTTTTTGTTTTCTGTTTCAACTGATGGCAAAGTACCCAGTTTTTATGTTTCCCTTCTGCTGAATGATAGTTTAAGATAGACCAGTGAAAACTGGATTTATCTCTTCATTCCCATTTCCACCTTCCACAACAGCAGGTGGAAGTGACTTAATGGACACATTCTGCAGATGGATCTAATTTTGACCAACTCCTTCCTTTTTACAAACCAGATGTTATAGAAATTAAAGTTTCATTTCTACATTTCTATAACAGATTAAGTATAAGAAGGGGTAGAAGAGAAGAAGCATCCACAGCAAGTGGAAAGAGACACTGTTTGTTAGCTAAGATATCAGAAAATGGTTTTTAAAGCCATCTCACAGTGACTGAGTCTTAGAGTGTCTTCCACTGATTAAAGCAGAGAATCCTACTCACTCCTGCCTCTGCAACAGACTCATTCAGTGACCCCAGGTCAGGCATTTAACATGTGTGTGCCCCAGCTCCTCTTCTCCACAGGACAGTGATACTGAGATCCTGGAGGTTTATGCAGATTTATGGGGTTAGAAAATAAAATGCACCACTATTATGAAATGTCACATTACTCAGCATGGTATTTTTAACTAACTACATGAGGGCCTGGAGGGCCCAGAGAAGTACACATATATAATCTTTTCATGTTCCCAAAGAACATGAAAATATTGCTCCCATTTCTGGTAAATATGCACATCAGAGTAAACAAAACATTGAGCAGGCAACTATGGCTATGCTGGGAGTATCAGTATTTCAAATAAAACCAGCTCCTCTATTCACTGAAGCATCTGTAATGAAGACTGGCTATTTCTTATTTCACTATTCTGTAAATTTGATAAGTGCTAAGTGCTTCTCAGCAAAGATTCAGCACAGCAAAGCTGCATTGGTAAGTGCAGCTTACAAAATACACACATTTACCAGAAGGCTGAGAAGTGTTATTGTTAATACATCACTCTAAATTAAAATGTATCAAAATAAATGAACAACCACGTTTACTGACACAGTTTCTTTTCCTGTGTATTGGACTTAAGCACTTAGTTTGCTAATTGAGAAAATTCAGGCATTTGCAATAAGCTTCTCAGCCATTGGTGTAAATGAATCCTGCATTATGGACCATATGAAAAAAATTGCAAACAAATAGTCAAGAATACTTCCTGTACTCTATTCCTGCTCTTTGGGGTAAAAAGCTGTGCAGTTCAGAGGGATAAGCAAAGCCTTAAATTCCTCCTCCTCAGGGAATTTGGCTGTAATACCACCAGTACATCATAGCTGGTAAGTGCAGCAGTACCACAGGCTTTTCACAAGCAGTATTTCTCATGCCAGCTGAGGCCTGGGGCTGGAGCAGTGCAGCTCCCATGAAACACAGAGAAAACCCAAACAGCACCAGCCCAGAGCATGGCCCGAGTGTGCACCCAGGTGTGTCTGTGGAAGGTGATTCTCCACATCTGTCATGACTGAAGTGCCTCCACAGAACCTTGGGCAACTCCTCCTGTGCAGTTCTGGGAGTCTCTTTCCTGAGGCAATTACAGAGATGCATTCTTATAATTGAGGTCCAAAGGGAATAAAGGACTCTCAGTAATGCATAAAAACCCAAGGACATAAATTCCCTCTCTGCCAGAGCCTCAAACCTAATCTATCAAACCATGATATTTAATAAAAGTAATTACATGTATCACAACACAAACCTTATTATTGTCCATAATTTAATTGTCCTTGCTTAATTATGGCCCTTTCTCCAGCTTATCTTTATAGCCTACTCCACAATGATGACAGTACTCTGACTGTTTCATTTACAAACCCTAAACTTCTCTCCTGGGACAATTTGGTCACATTCTGACAGTCCCACAACTAAAGAAAATGCTAATGATTAATAATACATTATAAAAGGGAATAATTTAACTTGCCCTCTCTGAAAAATGCATTTGTACAATGCTACCTTGTTCTCTAGAGCAAATCAAATGTTTCATCCTGTTACTACATCTCACCACATTACCAGCCTATGTACTCAACTGGGCTTTTACTGTTTAGATTGTCCCTGCCACCTTCTAAGGGCAAAAGCAGCTACAAATTATTACTACAAGTGACAATCCACATGGATCCTCCTGTCTCCTGCAATGCTCTGTTAGCCAATCACTGGAGCAATTCAAAATTTACAAATCACAGAGATGATGCTGATGATTATCTAATTTTAATCTACCCAAGTACATTTAATCTACCCTGAATAGATTAAAATTAATCAGTCTCTCACAAACACTTGCTACTTTTGATATGTTCCTTTTTTTTTTAAACCAAAGTCAAATTAGTCATAGAGATTTGCTCAAGAAATCAAGGTTTCAAATCATATGATTTTTCAAATCATAGCAGTTGTTCATTATTCTTAACAGAGAAAGAATACTCATAAAGCAGAAACAATAAAACAGTGTTCTGAAATACTCTGAAGACTTCTCCAAGGAACCACACCTGAAACAATTACATTCTTTACTTCAGATATCCATTCTGCAAGCCCATCTTAATCAGTTTCAAAAATTATTGGCTACACAAATCACCTTAATCAAACTTCTATCAATACCTATTATATTTTTGTGTTTGTATTATTATTACCTACTTTGCACTAAATAACCAACCTAAACCAATTCTAGAAAACAACCTCCCCCCCTTCCAAAATCTAACTCAACAAAATACAATTATTTTAAATCAATAAATAGGTCATTATAACCTTCCTGGGTAATAGGGTCATTTCTATAAATCCACCCACTTACAAGGCAATTCACCAAAGTCAAGAAAACCTGTTAGGTTTACATTTTCCCTTCCTGAATTTTTGCAAGATTAATACATCTCAGCAGAGTCAATAATGCAATCAAAAATCACACATCCAGAGGTAGTGAGCTGCTCTATGCCTTCTCCCTGCAAAACCCCACAGGACAATATCACAACCAATCTGGCACTGTCACACAGCTTGTATAAACACAAGTGACCAACTCCCAGACAATCATGTTCCCTCTCATGTTTTATTTTTGCTTAATTAACCAACTAGCCAACCATCCCTGTTTTAATAGATTACTAAAATAGATCTGAATTCTAATGCTAAAATAACAGATTATTTCTGTCTGTTAACATCTATTTATTGCTCTAGAATCTCCTGGTTATTTTTGCCATGCTTAGTGGTTCTGATTAATCTTTTTCCTCGGGGAAGAGAGGAGGCCCCAAAGAGGTGAAATAAAAAAAAAAGGAAGGAGGATTAAATCAGATTAACCCAGAGATGACGGACTTGAGCTAGTCTGGTTGGGTGAGTGACCAAAGACTACCACCACAGTGGTTCCCACCAGAACACCTCATGACCCATTTGGGTATTGACAGAATTAGAAACAAGCTCAGATTAATACCATTATCCTACAAAAATACTGGGAAATCAGGTTCAGCTAAGAGACTTGGGGTCATACCCACAGAGAGGGATTCATCCTCTTTGAAATGGTCTCTTCAAGGCACCATGGTCTGCTGCAGGACAGAGTCACATTGTTGCCAGGCAAGTTGGAACTTTTGAGACTTCAGTTTCCACTAACTACTGATTCATGGCCCACCACAAGCCCTGTGTTCCCTATCTTGTGACTTTATTCTATTTTACCTGCCCATCAGTTTAATTGAACTAGAAGAGCTGCTTTGTGTGCCCTGCCCTTGCTTTTTAAAATCACATTCATTATCACAAATGATCCCTCAGAAATCAAAGAGAAGCTTTTTGCATTTTTGGTTCCTGGAAACCCCTGCTGTGGGCATAGGCCTTGGCAAGGAAGGAGAAGCTACATCAAACTGTTCCATCTGACCTCTGTCTATAGGAGGTTTTCCTCTCTCCAATGATCTAACACATTGTCTCCAACCTATACCAGGAAGAAAGGATAAAACCAGAGCAGATTGCTGTGTTATGACCTGTTTTTTCTCCACCCTGCCAAGATCTAGCTGTAGCTGTCCAAAAAATGTAAAGAAGTGGTTGGGGGAATTTCACATTGGTGAGCCAGACTCTTTCAGAAGAGCTCCTCAGCAAGACAGGACTTAACCTCGGGATGACTTTGAAGTTTATAAAAAGAACTATCATTTAAGTGAAAGGCTCTAACCTCAACAGAATGAAATTGGATGGACAGGGAGATGCAGCTCTGTATGAAACAGAATCAAACTGACTCATTGCATTATGAATTTTTGCTGCACTGTTCATGCTAGCACACTGTATTACTGACAGGCCCTCTGGCTTTCTGCAGTTTCACAGCCTTGAAACTAGCCAGGGAATCCACCATCAACTGCAAAATTATAAGGCAGGAAGAAAAAAGAAATGGTGTGGAATATGTAATTGCAAGAAGCTGATTTTAATGGAATGAAGCTGGAAAGCTAAGCTAAAGAGCAGGAATGGCTACTCCTTCCCATGGTGCTTGGCCACTGCCTCCCTGTCATTCATTCCTATCTACCAGGGCAACAATTCACCACTGTACATCATTTAAAACCAATAAAAGATATGTGCAAGGAGAGCCAGGTCTAACCATGTGGAAAAGGAAAGTATTGAGAAGGAGATAATTAACTCTTTTAGCTTCCAGGCCATTTTATGCAGAGAGCAAAGCAGAAAGAGGGAGCTGAATTCCCCAGTGATCTCTCCAGTCGGGTTTGCTTGGCCCCTGCAGGGGTGCAAGGTGCTTGCAAGGCCCCTGTGAGTGACAGCTGTATTCTCTGCCCTTGAGTTTTATAGCTGAAGCAGCACCAGGGGGTCAGAAGCAGGTCTCTGAGCACTCCCCACCTCCAGCCCAGCTTTTCAGCACACAGCATTTTGGGGAGAAACAGGGCAGCGACGTGAGGTTGAATCAGACACCAGGGAGCTGCTCCTGTGCTGTGCTCCCTGCAGAGAGCTTCAGCTGCAACACACGTGGCACAGGCCACTGCTGTTAATTATTTTATCTTTTAAAATGAGGGGGGAAGGTTGAGTAAATGAGATCAGATCAATCAAGTTTAAATTATTCAATGTCTTAATATTTCTGAAGGGGACTTCTATGCGATTACCGAGCTCCTCCATCTCAGTTAATAATTAAATAATATGCTGGCAGGCACAATGCAGCATGATCATTTCTATTATTACTCATGATGATATCTGGTGCTCCTCTACACATGTAGCTGGGAGTTAGTAGTTTTGGCAGATCATTAATTTCCCAGTTTAAATAAAAGCTTTAAAACCTTGTTGCCTGCAGTTAGGCCACTTCCAAATCTCATAAATGGTAGAGTGTGTAAGGCTGTGCTGATGTAAAAGAAGCTTTTGCACAGCTGAAGACCTTGGTGAGATTCACCTTTGTTATTTAAACATGTGTTCTCCAGGAATCTTGCTATATTGTATTGTTTATTTATTACTGTGCATTATATTTGAAAAGCTGTTGTAAACTAAAGCCTTTGGCTGGATGTGAGACGTGCAGGGCTGCACTGGAGAGCCTGAGACAATGATTCCTTCCTTGGTTTTACAAGGGCTGGAATCACGGAGTTACCAGCAATGACTCTCTCCTCTGCTTTGTCTACGTGGGCCATAAAGCACAAACCTCACCTTCAGACGTGCCAAAACTCACAGGATGGGCACAGGACCAAAGAGCTGTGCCCACTGAATCCTCCCAGCTGCCATGGTTTCAGAGGAGCTACCAGTGATTACATACAATTGCCAGCACTGTTTACAGACAGGAAGGGGTTTTGGAGATGTTTTCCAAGAAGCCAGAAAGCACAATCACCACCCTTTTGTCCATGCTGCTTGCTGCAACAAGTCCAGATTATTATTTTTTTCAGTATTATCAGTTACAACCTGACTGACCTGTATTCAAATTCAATCTATTTTGTATTTTTTTCTGTCCCTTAAGGAAGATATCCTGCTTTCTGGTCACACCTTGTTAGGAAAATTCATTCTCACAGACCTGGATGGTGGGATCAGATTATTGCATCATTACAACACCAAATACCCCTCAAAATCAAATCTGTCTTTACAACAAGGAATAAGAACTGTGTAACCAAGAGTTTCCTAAATTAATTTATTTTACCAGAAGAATTAGCAAACCACTACATTTTGAAGCCGACAGGAAATGAAAAGAAAAATGGTATTTCCAAACTTGCTCACCTCCTCAGCCCCTGGGGTGGGTGTAACAGCCAATCTGGGCTCTGGTGCTAATTTCACAACATCAGCCAAGGGCACATTCCTCTCAGCTACAAGTCCTGCAATAAGAATCACAATCGTGATCAATACAAAAAAACACCATAGGGGTGTGCCTTGACTCCCTGGCAAATTAATACATTATATTGATCTTCCCTGGTCAGGTCAGCATTCAGGATTGAAGGATAAATGGCAGAAGATCTTACATTCCTATGAGCTAGCCTGGGAAGTGGGGACTCTGTGATTGAGTTTTTGCCAATCACTCAATTTGTACCCTGGGGAACAGGTAAGCAGCAGAAATGCTACTCAACAATATCAGTAATTATTTATGGCTACAACAGTACAGTAAACAGCAGTGAAAATAGGTGGAAGCAAGGGATTCAAGGACAAAATGTGACTAAACATAAAAATGAAGAGAAATGAAAACACTTAAGAAAATATGCTACAAATTATGAAATATATTTATATGTAAGGAAGCAGAATAATAGGGGAGTTCTGCTATGATAGCATTTTGCTTTGTGAGCAAATCACAAAGCATTTCAGGAGCTCCCTGCACACCTGCTAAGAACCCCAGGCTAACTGCAAAACACCCCAGATGCGCATTGCAATATTATTAAAGAGCCCTTGCTATCAGCATTTCATTTATATTAGCAAGTCCCCATTTTTCCTCAATTCCTTTGCCTGGCCAAGAGTGAGGCAGCTGAAAGCATCAATCAAAAATGCCATTTAGGAACACACACAGCAAACACCCTGGGGCTTGGCTGGCAGAGGATGTGAGCCCAGGAGTCCCTGCATCAGCACAGCAGCCGAAATCCTCGCTCAAACGCTCTGTCAGCCAAGCCTCCACAGCTCATATGCCAAGCTGGCAGAGGGAATACACATCTCACACACAAAATATCTGCACAAACTTTAATGGTGGCTCCACATTTCACATGCATTCAAGGGCAAGGAATCTGCCTGCAGCATTAAGTGCTGGGAGGCTTCTGAAGCTGAAGGCAAAGTTTGAGTATAAAGAAAAACAGTTTGGAAACTCAACCCACAAGGTGCAAAAATGGTCCCATTGTGGCATCAAATATAAAGATAATCCAAGTGTTTCCACTGTCCTACAAAAGCCTGCTTGGCCTGACAGAATCCTTGTGCCTTTTCTGGAGATAAAGAGGAGAGCATGCTGTGTGCATTAAACACACCAATTCAGGTTTTGGTCGTGCAATTTTCTGTGCTGTTTTCAAATGCAAGAGATCGTGTAGTCTTTAGATGCTATAATGTGACAGCAGAATTTGCTTCTAAAATTAAAACTTGGATGATTTCTTCTGATGGTTGGTGCTATCTTTTCCATGCCTGTTGCAATCCCATGGTCTTACATGAACTTTTTGAAAAGTTACCCATGTCTCAAGGCCCAAATCCTAAAGATTCAAATTAAAAAAAATGAGGCTAACTGAAGTTGACCTAAACAAGGACTTCCACACTCCTTTAATTGTTTAGTTGTAAGATATTAGAAACCATTTTAAAATATATGCATAAAAATTCATGGTTGGGATTAAAATCTTAAATAGCTGATGGTCCATCCTTAACACACACCCACATGCATTAATTAATAAGTTCATTAACATGTAAATCCTGGGACTTGGACTCTTATATTACAGTGAGTGATGTAGTACAACAAGCAAGATGACTGGCCAACCTAAGAGTATCCCAAGATTCCTGCTTTTACAAGAGAAAGTGCATGGAGCCCAGGACACCTTGCAAATAATTCAACTTGATGTTTAAAAGCTGGAAGATAAATACAGGTTTAATATTGGCCAGCAGTATTATAGGTCTTGTTGTCCCTGCCCTCAATGATCTTCTTTGCTGGGATCAGCCTTTTGTTTGGTTTGGCCATTTCAGCATCCAGTTTACAGCCCAGTCCCCAAACTGGGGCAGCAGGCTGCACCAGCACCTTCAGCTGGCTGTATTCTTCCATGGATGTAACAACACAACATGTGAAGGTCCTAGACCTTCCTTGGACAGTGCCAAACTTCCCACACCCCATCCCTTGGTTGAGAAGCAGCCACCAGGCTTGGAATTACAATGTAAATTATATTCTCTGCCCTGATCCAAGTGTACTAAGAGCAAAAATCCCTCTTTGACCTGTGTGACCTTCCAGTCAGATGTGCACAGCTTTACTCCCCCCTCATGCCCAGTAACATTAATCCCAAGTATTATCCAAGTGAAATTAAATTCCCTGACTGCTCACAAGAGTCTCCTGGCAGCCTTACCATGGATTGCTCTGTAAGCACTTCCCAGACAAGCAGAGTTGGCCGTGTCGATGGTGAACACGGGCGCGTTGAACACGTCGGACAGGACCTGAGGGGCATCAAAGCATCCGTGAAACACAAAGGGAAAGGAAAAATCCTTCATCACTGCTCAGGAAAACAAGCAACTGTCCCAAGCCCCAGCCAAGCACTCAGGAACCCATGGAAAGAAGCACTGCAGGCAACAGTGAGGCCTGAACTTGTCACACCACAGGGTATTGGTAATTCTGAGCTACAGATGTAACTTTAGCCGGGAAATAAAGTCCCATTTCTCTCCAGATCTCTTGGTTACAGTCCAGAGGAGCTCTGGTTTCAAGCATCATTCCTCAAAAGCTCAGACAGTCAGCCCATGCTAAAGGCTTATGTCAGGGCAAGGAGAGCTGCTCAGGAGCCCACAACTAGAGCCTGTTTGCTGCCATCCTGTTAAGGCTGATTCTAGTGGGAAGGAAAGAGAGAAGAGGAAGGAAGGAAAGAGGAAAGAGAGAAGAACCAGTCACAGCTCCTCAGTTCTAAACTTGGATAAAACCAAACTTCCAGCAACATGAAGGCCTGCTAAGCCTTTCTTCATCTCCATTCCCATCCTATTAGGGTCAGCAGGGAGAACGCCACAGGAGCTGATTACACAGTCTCTAAATTTACCAGTTTTCCTGTTTTTAAGGCAATCTTAGCTATGAAGATATATTGAGACATTTGGCTTGAGTTATACAAATAAAATTTTACAGGCAAAGAAATTATTATGGTATCCAACAGATACTAAAGTTATTCGACCACACATCATTCTGCATTGAAACCAACACCATCAGCACCTCACATCTGCTCTTCCCCACAGTTTAGGTTTAGGAAAATAATACAGAATGGGAAAAATTAAGATATGTTTGGACAGGGGCATAGGAGGTTTAATAATTCCTTTCCAAAAACATTGTCAACAAATGCTTTCCATTTTGGTTTCATCACTTCTAGGACTGCAAGTGCCCCTCAGGCTGAGCAATGCAAGAAGCAGGAAGCAATTCAGATGTCAGTTGAGTCTAAAATAAAGCCAGAATGCCCAGAATTCCAAACCATTTGGATTAGTGCAAGACAACCCTGATCCTGGAATTTATAACCCTGCTGGGGATGGACCCCAGGGCTCCATAAAAGAAGACTAAGAAATTCAATCCATATCACCTATAGAAATATATAGTACCTGCTATTTCTAAAGTATTTTTCTTTCTTTGAAATTTTGTGGAGACTCTTCAAATCAAAACCTTTGAAAATCACTGATTTTCACAATTTAAATGAAAGTGGCTGTTTGCTAACTAGAACCCAGTGGAAGCCTGAGCTTATACACTTAAAGCTGCTTCTGGTAAGACAGAAAAGTCAGGTTTGGCTAATTTCATTTGCAAGCAAGCATTGAGCAGCACATGAGTTTCAATGCTAGAGAACAAATGAAAAATAAATCATGGTAATCTGTTAAAAAGTACTCTGGAAATGGTAAGGTCACAGAGCTCCAGTCCCACTGCCCATCCTACCAGCCAATGCTACCACTTTGTTTCAACACATTCCCCACTTATATCTTCACCTCATCTCTAGCAAGAATTTCTTAAGTCTAAATTGCACAATCTTTTGGACAACAATTTTTTTTGTATCTCTGAGGAGCCTCATACAATGCAGCTCTACTCTACACTGATTGCAAAGTGCTGCAATACTACAAAAAACATTTTAATAATTTAGCAAATAACATTTATTTACCACGATTATAAAATAAAAATTATTCAAAGTTCATATATTTGGTAATTCATTTGGAACTGTAGTATCTCTCACAAATAACTTAAAAAGAAACTATTTGAGGTACTACTGCTTAAGATAATTCACTGTGTTCCATGTGGTCATTAATCAAGCACCACCTATGTTATAAAAAGCTTCCTGGAACTGTGGAGAAAGCTGCCCTACTAAATTTTTTTTTAACAGATTTTCCTAAGTTGTCTCCTTTGTGGTGTAAAATATAGGAGTTCCTGAACGTTGATTAATTAAATGATAGTCCTTTGTAGCCCTGGAACAAATTATCCAAAATTGACCATGATAAGAGTGGAAGCTGTTATTCTTTATGCAACTGATATGGTTTCTGAGGTTTTGATTAAATTACAAAGAAAGATCCAATTAACCAGTGATTGAATTAAGTGAATGACACTGTATTGATCATATTATTTTAAGGCACTTCTAATGAGTTTTAAAACCAGCTGAATTGTTATACGTGAAGATCAAGCACCCCAGCCACCACTCTCCCAATCCCATGATTTTTCAGCTGTGTCTGTTACCAAATTATGTATTTTAAGAACATTTGTTTCTCTGCCTTCATTGCACAGCAAGGAGATCCTCCTGGCACCCAAACTGAAATACAGCTTTAAAAACAAACTCATCTGTGAATCCAATATTTCCTGATGTACCCCTAGCAGAATTACTCCTGTAAAGACCAATGTTTTAAGCAATTAACCAATCAGTTAATTTTCCAATGTCACATTCTTAGGCAGAGTAACCAAAGCAGATGAAGAGAAGTGACATCTGCAGGCAAAACATGCCACATTTGCTGCTCCCCAATCAGCTCTACAGGCAGCGGTTACACACACATGTGGTTTAGATGCCTTAGGAGAAAACAGCTCTTTTGCTTTTTTGCTCTTTAACTTCCATTTAATCCAGCTCAGGTTTTGTGGAGCAGAGAATTGCCTGCAATTGTCAAAGAGAATGGTGTGCAGCTGAGGCTGGCCCTGACTCTCTGGAGCTGATGGGAAGGGAGTGGAATCTCCAGAAAACATTTCACCCTGTGTTCACTATGTGATAGATGAGCCATGTGATGGTTGACTCTCACAATGAAATGGCAAATATTATGTATAACTTTTATAGATTTATTGTAGGAATGTGCCCTTTGTTGACGGAGTGACAAAATTATTCTTTGTTCTTTTAAAAAGGAAATAAGCTCAGAAGTTTCTCTCCTCAATTAGGTGAAAAAGGCATCTCATAGGCCTGGGAGACTTCACCTCAAACTTAAAGATCTCTAATTAAACAAGAGCCAAAAAGTCCTGCCTGAGCAATTTACTAAAAAAAGAAAACAAAGAAACTAATCACTTTTGTGAGGTGTTTTACTGAGGGCAAGAAAGCCTCTTGCACCTAGATCACTTTTTCTCTGTAAAAAGTTTGTTATTTTGCCTTTTATTAAAATCTATGTTATGTTTTACCCCCTCCTTGCATTGTTATCACAGGATGGCTTGGGTACTTGGGGTATTTGGGAGGATTGGCTCATTACTATGGCAACACCTGGGCTCTAATCAAGAGGTAAGAAAGTGATCTCCACCACTGGACAGCAAAGAAGGAGTCCATGGACAAGACTTGGGGCAGGACTAAAGGGTTAAAAATTTTACCATGGTGGGAAAAAATCCTTTGCTCCTGTTACTGTATTATTTTCTCTATTCAGTTTTCTGTGGTATTTTTTGATAAGGTTTTAATAAACCTTTTAAATTTTTGGATGTATCATTTCTCACAACCATCACCAGTGACAAGACCTAGCCCAAGATTAGGACTCCTGGTGTACATGTCTACCTCCAGGTCAGTGTTGGAGCCTGTGGTTAAAGGGGAGCTTGTCAAGGCAGCCCCTGGAGCCCAGAAAATTCCCCAGGAGGAGACTTTACATTTGCTAAGTTAAAACACCAACCCAATTGGGTTTTTGTTGCTTTCCTCTGCACTGCAACAGAGGGGATCTCCCCCAGCTGCTACAGGGCTGACAGATCATAACCAGACATCCCACCACAGCTGGGTGGATTTGGGCAGGCTCAATCCCAGCCCAGATGTCTCTCTCTGTGCTGTCACAGCCAGGTGAGAGGCCTCTCACTGTTTGTGAGTGAGGCTTTGCCAGAAGCAGAGAGCACAGGGTTCTCTGCTCTCCACAAGAGGGATGAAGCCTCTTACCCAGGCTGGATATGCAGCAGCAAAAGAGGAGGTTGGGAACAAACAACAATCCAACCAAAGTGTGGCCTCCTCCCAGAAAATTACAGGATGCTAATAAGTAACACAAGGGCAGGGGGTTGAGGTTTGTATGAGGGTGCGTGTTTGTTTTTGTTGTTGGATTTTTCAATGTTTACCACCAGCATAATTCCCCTTCAGCTGAAAGAAACCAATGGTTCAACTTTGACCTGAATGACAAAAAAAAAAAACCCCTCAGGTACTACATAAGAAGTTTCTTTGTAATTTCTTTGCTGATTGATTTGATTTAAGTGATGAGACCTAGAAATCATCAGTGCTTCAGATACACATTCAGAAAAGCAGTCAAGTGTGAAAAAAAACTCCAAGTTCAATGTAAAATTAGCACTGGGCTAAAGGTTTTCACACTAAACCTGGTGAAAAACCCTGAAGAGCTGCAGCAGATTCACAATTCCATATCCACACCTTCAGTGCAGCTGCAGGGGATTCAGTACAGCAAAATAAAAATGGAGATGCAACTGCAAGCTCAGTTCAGGATTTAATTTTCTACTTACCTGTAAGATCTTTTTATTGTGGGATGCGCCACCAGTAGCCAAAATCCTCGTTCTAGGCACTGCAATGCAATAAAAAGTACAAATCAGACTGACAGTGCATGTGGTCAAGATTTGTGCTACTGAACCAAGTACAGTGAGAACAAGGAGGTGGGAGCCAGGGTTCTCCCTCTGTACCTCTAATTTACCTTCTGTAAAAAAGGAGATAACACTAATTACCCACTTTTCCAAGGCACATTAGAACTCTTCCTTAGAAGAGGCAACATAAATATTGCAGATCTATTATTATTGTAGTGCTATCAATGTCAGGGAGATTTGCAAAGGAGATACAGAGTAAGAAAGGCAGTGTTATTATATTACAGCTCTGGTTTGAGGTCAGATTGGTTTGGCACATAGCTGTATATATACAAACTGACAGATAACCTTTAAAATCAGCAGTATTTTCCAAACTTATCTCCTCATGACGTTCACAGTCAGAGTTCACTGAAACCTGGGCAATCCCCATGCGCTTGAGTGACAAGGAACTGTGTCAAAAGGCAATTAGAGATGGTCTAAATCACTAAAATAAAATAAAAATTCTGAATCTTCATCCAGTGCAAACCCACAGCTTTGGGGGAGTTAAAAAATATACCCTGTGTTCTTTAGGCTTAAAGAAACCCATCCTTTCTTCTACATTCCTGAATGTCTGCCTCACCATTCATTTGTGTGTGTGCAACAAGCCACAGAGCTATCCACAGTCAAAATTCAGCAAGGCATTCCAAACATAAACACTCCAAATGTTCTCACTGAAGTTCCTCAAAGGCTTAAAACAAAATAAATGTATAAACACTTTGATATCGTACATTTAAAAAAAATCTAAACACTTAATTACCCTGATTTATGACAATAATAAGTGATACCATCATGTATACCCTCCCAAAAGGGAAATTTCACTGTGGTTATTGTTTTGTTATCTTAACTTCCTTTTTAATAAAAGCTAAAGATAATTTATTTCTCACAAGGCAAAGTTGGGCAACTTACACTGATGCCCTAAATAACTTATTGTCATTTATCCTTTCAAGTATCTTAATGACAAAAGCCCCAAAGACAGAATTAGAAACAATCAGAAGATGCAGCTCACCACACCATTTCCAGACCCCCATCTGGGTGCTCAGGTGGAGGCCAAGACCCAGACAAAGCATTGCATGGGGGACCCTGTTTAGCTGATAAATTTAATTTTATTTTCCTCTTTGGAGGATATTCAGTGATGCACAAATTGGGTTTTAAAAGCCATTAGGATCTCTGTCAATGTCAGTAAACAAATAAAACAAACAGCAGAGTGATTCCTCAGGGAAAACAAGTTTCAATTATACCAACACAGAGTGACAGATTCCTGCCAAGATTATCACAACAACATAATAGCACAGAAACCAGTGAAAAATAACTAGTAAGCCTCTGTTCCTAGAAACCAAACCAAACTCTAAATTATTTGCCTGGTAGTCACAATTCTGCCTTGTTGAGAATATAAATTCTTGCAGAACTACCACATCCAATGTGAAAACACCACATTTCAGAGACAGACAGCAGGACAGGATGAGAAACAGACACACAGGCTACACTTCCCAGCAGCTCCAACCAAAGAATAAGCCAGGCTTGCTCTCCAGTGCCTCTGGAAAGGGGCCCCTGCTGGGCTCCCACCATCAGGAAAGAAAAGTGGGCAACATCAAAATGCCAAAGCCAAACAGCAACTACCCTGTGAGAGCAGCAAACACAGCCCAGCTCAGCTGCTTCTGCTCTGCCATCTGCACACCAGCTCTCTGTCTCAGGGCTTCTGCTCCCAAAAGTTTGCATTTGGAATCCAGGAATGGACAGGAGACTTTCTCCTTGCTAGGTCAGTACCTTCAGGTTTTGGCTACATTATAAATTCATGCCATCACTGTAATTCAAGAGACTTCTGTATCAATAAGTTATCAGAAATATAGGGCAATCAATAAGTTATCAGAAACATAGGGACAAATTTACAGTGCATTTTCTATGCAATACAGGCCCCAAACAAGTAAGCATTTACCCCACTATCAGGTGATTTAGGTGTCTCCCAAGAGGCCAAGCCAGATCACAAGTTTAAAATTGTTTAGCATGTTGCTATCTGCATACCCACTTTAATCCAGACTAATTCTTTTGCAGCAAAACACTAAGAAATATTTCAGAATATACCTAACCTACTTGATAAAAGAAACTAACTTAATTTACACTGTGAAGTTTCTAACATTGGTTAGACAGCTCATGTTCTAAATTGGATCCACTTATGAGTAAAAGCACCCAAAAACCTCTGCTGAAACTACATGAAGGGCAAAACCATTCATTCTCCTCCTCTTTGAGTAAATAAGATAGCTCTCTCCACTGAAAGACCTCCCAGCAGGTTACAGCCCAGTGAGCTTCAGCCCTCACTGTGGGATGACAGACTCTGAGCTGCTCTGCAGGTGGGACTGATCCATCCAGGCCACAAGGGAGCAAAATCTCAGGTGAACGGGGTGCTCTGCAAGTGGCCAGAGCAGAGACGACATCACTCCTCCTTGAGTTTCAGTCACTTTTTACAGACAAGGATTGTCTCTAAACTTCTGGAATTTGCTGAATTTTAGGTTTACTTCTTGTTTCAGTCTCTCTCCAAAGAGCAAGGAAAATACATTGATCACTGATTTCAGGGATTGTCTTTTTAATGCCAATAGTGTGTGCTTTAGTGAACAGTGGACATTTGCTCTGAGATGTGTAATTGGATACATCTTATAAATAAATAAAGCAAGCCCATCATTTATGTATAAAAGGCATTAACAGAGACATTGTTCATCCATCACCAGCAGTGTTCTCAGCCAGCTGTGTTTGAATCTGTCAGGAGCTACCATCCATCCCCTACAGCACTGCACAAAGAGAACTTCACAGTCTTACTGAAAAATCCCCAACAACAGTAGCAAACATAATTCAAGAATTCAATTCTTTAACAGTTGAGAGAATCAGATTTAAGCATCTTTTAATTAAAAGCTCCCTGCATACTACCTAACCAACCAGTTTATTTCCTTCTTATTGAAAAACTAATTATTTTTTTAGAGAGCTGATGCTGAATTTTAACCCTGTCTAGAAGGGTTACAGCTGCACATGGCACAGTGTTGTTCTGCCATACGTACATCTTCTGGAGATCTATTGTCTTCTGTTGAACATGGTGATTGGCCTAACAAAATAGAGTTAAAATAATGGCTCCCACTGGACAGGAGGAGGGACAAAGCCCCAAGTAAAGAAGTTTATGTGGGAAGTCTGAGCAAAAGGCACTTTCCCACAAGGCTGAGAAGGCAGCACGCTCTATGTGCACATTACTATGCACACAAAAATACTCATTGTGCCTTCCACAGAGATCCAACAAGAACTGAGTGATGTTAAAGTTCATCTCCTGTCTCTTGCTTTCAGCCAAAATGTTGCTTTTATTGAAAGGTACATAGAGAAAAAAAAATCTGTCACTGAGAATAGAAGGAAATTACAATGATATATGTTCAGCATTGTCAGTGGTCCCAAAAAAACTGCAGTCCTGCATGACTGTATATTTACAAACACAGAGGAGGGGCAGGCACTGATCTCTGCTCTGTGTGACAGTGACAGAACCTGAGGGAATGGCCTGAAATGTCAGGGAAGGTTTAGGTTGGATATTAGAAAAAGGTTCTTCACCCACAGGGTGGTTGGGCATTGAACAGGCTCCCCAGGGCAGTGGTCACAGCACCAAATCTGACAGAGCTCAAGAATGTTTGGACAATGCTCTTGCTCACATGAGGTGACTCTTGGGGATGGTCCTGCACAGGGCCTGGAGTTGGACTGTGATCCTTGTGGGTCCCTTCCAACTGAGGGCATTCTGTGATTCTATGATGATAAATCTAACTATCAAGAAAAATATTTACATTAGCAAACTCACCAGTCAGAAGGGTAATGCTGATAATTGTCACCAAAATCTTCTGCCACATCATTGGTACAGGGAGACTTGCAGGAGGTTGAAATTGAGCCTCCTGTCCCACCAGGAATGGGTCAGATCAGACTGGTGACAGATCCAGATGCTGGAATTGGTGGGATGACTCCTGACCTCAGGGCTTTTGGATCTTGCTGTATTTCAACAGGACAGAAATGGTGTGTGTGCTACTACAGAATTTTGCTGGTTCATGCACCTCAAAGTCCAAAACCAGAATTTGACCTTCCATTTTGAGGCTGAAAACCCTTCAACTTTTTCATCTAAATTTTCAGTGCTACCCACAGTCCTGATTTGTACCCCAAACTCTAGGCACATGCTGACTTTCAAAACTCTTAAAAGACAATTCCAAGAATTCATCCAAACAGCTTCATAACATCCTTCTCATCACAAGTGAATCCATAAATAAAACAGAACAATAGAACATGTATTCAAAAAGCAGCTGATTATGCACATGAACCCACGCCAGTTATAAGCATGATTGCAAATAACTGCAATTTACAATTTGCAAGCAACAAGAAAAGCCCCTCCTTTATTTCTCTGATTAACTTCAAAGACTATAATTTTTTAAACAGTATTTGCTAGCTTTTCATTCCAGAAAAAAAAAAAAAGGTTTTTTTGTCCCATTTATCAAACAAATATTTCAAAATCATCCTCCTCGCTTATTAACTCTTCCAAAATTCATGCTAATCTTCTTTATTCATATAAAGACACTGAAATTTAACTCCTGCTATGGTAAAAGATTTCTCTTATCTAAACCCTTTGTAAATATGGCCTTTTATGTCCCTGAGACTTCTAGGACTGGGTCCTAAACAATATCCACATGAATGAGGCAAGAGTAATGGAAACTGGAATGTACTCTTTTTCTCCTTTTCCTTTTTAATTTAGACAAATACAACTGCCCAAGTAAAAGACATTCAAAAACTTTTTTAGATGTGTTTCTGACTTTCACTTTGAAGCATCAGCTAATTTATTACTGACAAAAGCAAGCCAGGTTTGCCATAGAGGATGGTTGCTTTTTAACTGGCAAGTGAAGAAGTTTTCATATCTTTTGTAACATGCTTTAATTTCACTGAGTATTGC